AACAACATAAACCCCTCTCTGTATCCCCCCCCCTCCCCTTTTCCCTCGTTATTTTTTTCTTCCAATTTTATATTATATAATACTTCCGTGGAATTATCAACAGCAACAGTGTGTATGGAACGCACACAGTGGCATGGACACACGCACGTATACAGTCAGAAGAAGTCAACCGTATACATGTTACTTTCTGTTCCCCCACCGCTTTGCTATTATATCCCGACCTCGTACACTCTCCGCATTATTGAATACAGCTCTTGCATTATATAACGGAACGACAAAGGCTTTCCTGTTGGGGCGGTGAGCGAAAACCTACGACCGCTTTGCTTAATTAATAGAGATTGGCGAGGCACAGTCAAGTTCGCGTCTCGTGTTACTTTCTCACGTGTGCATTGGATCTAGATATCTAGTTCCTCTTTTATTAGACTAGATCTACAAAACGATAGAGGTATCCTTTTGCTTCGTCATTCAGAAGCCGAATTTTGACCAAATAGGTTGCTACTGCTAAAGTGAGAACAACTGTGTGGATCATTTTCATTATTGGGCCAGACAGAAAATAGAAACTATTTTATCACGACGCGAGTCAAAGGTTGGCGTCCTTGACTTTCAAGATGGCAAGCTACTCGAATGGCGATAATGCCGAATGCAGTGTTGTAACAAAAAGTCCAATGAAAAAACTAAGTGTTTCACCAACGGCACAGGAGGGAAGACAGAACGTAAGTACAGCTATTACATTTTATTTAGTCTTGTTTCTGTTGGTATGTTTGTGTCTTCGTTTAGCTTGTTCATTCGAGAAACGGAAACGAGCACGCCGTGTTGGAGCCGCGCGTGTCGGTAATCGATAGCGCTTTTATAATGTAAGAACTGAAACGTGAAAAGCTCAGTTGTACCAACAGCAATTAATGTCTCTCGATTCTAATTTGATCTAGCTTACTCATACTTAGCAGTCCTTTAAATGAGAAGTAAGATTTTGATGCCTACGAATATGGAAATAGTTGTTTCTTTTACATAAACACACTTTTTCAATGAAGCTTTAAAAAACTAGCAGACAACGAAACTCTAAGTTCGACTTGCCCGTGTCTTCTAGATTCTACGTCTTGTGTAATACCCAGTTGAGTGCATATTACTGAGTGAAGGTATCGTCAAATGTCGGTTGTATAATTATTGTTTGAATCATTTGAAAGCGGGGAGAAATTTGATCCATGGAGTTGCATAAGCTTCCGTTTTTGCATAGTTCTAGTTTCTAGATAGATCTGGAATAGAATTTGTTGATAAAATCTTCCATAATCAAACATTTTCTATCCTGCTGCAGTGGACTTAGCCTAGAATCTAGATCTAGATCTAGATCTAGATGTAGATCTTTACTTGGCCCAGTTTGATAAAAATAGATCTAGAATCTAGATCTAGCTAAACACGATCTAGGCCAACTGCGTACAGTCAAACCTGTGTAAGACGGCCACCCATTGTCAAGGAGAAAAGTGGCCGTGTAAGACAGGTGGCCGTCTTAGGCAGGACTGATCAA